TATATATATTCGATGGACGTGATCATCGCCAGTACACCGCGATAGGGGTGGTCACGAGATGCTTAGCCGAAACCCACTCGAGTTTACCTCGAGAATATGGGAAAGTTGGTGAACCTGCGGGGTCGATGTCAAAGGTGACATGGTAGCTTTGTTGTTCATCAGGTCGAGAGAAGCGAAGTGCATTGGTGGAGAGAGCCATTGTCACCCCCGGCGGGATAGTCATATGGGCATCGTAATGCTCAACCCCTCCGGCCGCGACGTTCTTCAATGTACGCTTCACGGAGATCACGTACTTGGTTTGCCTGTAATCAATGGTGATCGAAGGATAGTTCAGCTGTGACGCATCGACGTGTTGCTGGGTTTTGCAGTCGACGGCCTTCCCCCAAAGAGCCGTCACGTTCCGGTCGGTGTAGCCTAGGCTGCAAAGGTAGGCGGGGTAGATTCCCATGTCGATTTCGTAGACTAAACCCGGATCTAGAGCTCTAGGTCCGTTCAGATGCCCTGCACCCACCGCGACGACGTCGGCGGTTCCACCAGAATGCTGGTCCATCAGGTAATTGCCGTCGAGGTCTCGGTCGTCGGCGGAGGTGACGATCGCCGACTGGATCGCGGAGGGCGACCAGTGGGGATGCTGCTTCCTTATCAGCGCCGTTATCCCACTGACGTGAGGTGCTGCCATGGAGGTGCCGCTCAGGAAATTAAACGCCGATTTTGACGGAGTTGCGGCTCCCGGTCCGACCTCAAATGGCCATGCGGCTAAGATGTTCACGCCGGGTGCGACGACGTCGGGCTTGAGAATGCCGCCGTTCCTGGTTCCGGGTCCCCTGGAGGAAAAGGATGCCACTGCCGGAGACGGCCGGCTGTTAAAGAGCGTACCTTTGAAGACGATCGTTGCCGTAGCTGATGCCCCTGCTGTAAAATAATAGCTTACGACCTTCATGCTGTCGTTGTAGCTCAAGTTGGAGGCTGGAAGGACGTGAGCCTCGGATCCGGTCGTGTTACCTCTCGACGGTGGGGTCATGAGGATCATGGCGGCGCCTTGAGCCCGGAGGATCAGTTTCCCCTTCTCGATGTTTGCAATATCACCGGGCTCACACAACACTATCTTGCCAGAGATATGATTCAATTGTGATGAGTCATTGCAGAACAACCCGTAGACGATTGGCAACATGACTGAGGAGTCGAATGATGTCGGTTGGTAGGCCGACTCGCCGTCCAGCTCCATCCCATTGCCCAGCTTCACGGTGGCTCTTATTCTTCGGTCGGTGGAGCTCGCGCCCACGGTCAAGACCCACGGCGCATCATGGGACAGCGTAAGATGATTGGGGCCTTGGTTGCCGGCGGCGGTGACGGCGGAGATACCGTGGCGCAATGCGGAAAGCGAGCCATGCACAACCCCGTCATCATGAAATCGTGGAGTACTGTTCCCACCGATGGACATCTGTATTATGTCGACTTCGTCTTTGATTGCTTGGTCTATGGCGGATAGTATGTCAGAATCCCTGCACCGGACATATGAGCTTTTGGTGCGACGCTGAACAGTGTAGCACACCTTGTAGATGGACAGATGAGCTCTGGGTGCCATGCCGGAGGCCGTGCCTGCCGCCATGCCAAGGACCTCGGCACGATTGTAAAAGTTCCCCGCCGCAATGCTAGCCACATGTGTGCCATGACCGTCGTCATCGACGGCCGTGTCTGGTCCATAATTAAATCCTCTTGCCCCAATAATCTTATTGTTGCAGGTGACCTTGCTAAAAGGTCTGCATGAACCCTTAAACTTTGCCGGGGGAGGAGGCATCCCGTCGTCACTGAATGAATAGTGATCCGCGGCGATCCCGGTGTCGATCACCCCAATTATAACCCCTTCGCCCATGTTGCCACTGTCCCATGCCCCCCGTCCCGGTTTGCTGATCCCCAGGAACTGAGGCGTGTATGTGGTCTCGATCCGCATCGTCGTGTCCGGCCGCGCGTACACGAACCCCTCCATCGCTTCCATGGCCCTCACTTCTTCCGGCGTCAGCTTGGCGGCGAATCCACTGATGGCGTGACGGTACGAGTAGATCAGCCGCGGCTCGCCCGAGTCAAGGGTGGCGTTTGGCAGGAAGGACTCGTGCCACTGCTTCAGCTCCCGGCTGCTGAGCAGCTCCACGGCTTCGGGCTCTTCAACGTTGACTATGAAGGTCTGGAGGCCATTGTTGTTGCCCCATCGGTCATCAACGATGGGAAGGAGAAGCTGGTCTTCACCCTTCACTGCACCAGCGAGACCACACAAGAACAACAAGAGAACGCAGAACTGGAACCGACCTGTATCGTAGTCATCCATGGAGGATATGGGTCGAAAGGTCGCAAGCAAACCTGCGGTGGTGTGGTGACGGAGGTTGCATTCAAGAACGCAATATATAGAGAACACACTGCCTAAGGTATAATACGGACTGCTTCGTTGCCTTCTGACATGAAAGCTAAATAATAATACTCAAGTAATAATGCATCGATAAATGAGAACACGAGGAGAGTTCATATCAGCTACTCGACATGTATTGACGACCTGTAGTGCTCAATCATGTACCGAATTCCACAAGAAAATACAAAATAATATATGCATCAATCTTATGAGTGTGCGAGTATCCAAGAAAGGAAATTATTCGCCATGTGATGCCTGTTCTATTTTTATTTATTTATTTCTCAAATAAAAAGAATAGGGTGAATTTATCAATTATGTATTTTTTTATCATCAGTTATTTAAAAGAGTCCAAATGATTATTATGTTTAGTATATTTGGTAATCAGTTATTATATGATTATTTTTATTTCTTATCTTTTTATAACTTAATTTTTTATATAATTATTATGAAAAAACATTGTTGACATTCAAGTCAGCCCTAATCCACGTGCGTTAGGTGGAAAAAAGTTCGATGCCTAACTCCTCTACCGTTGAAGAAGGAGGTCGATGTCAAACCTGTTAGGATCAAGAGCACTAAGAAGGGGGGGGGGGCGGTGAATTAGTGCAGCGGAAAACTTTCGACGATTAAAACTATGTTCGTACAATAAGAGCGATTTCGATAGAAAAGTCGATTCGTAAATCACTTTAACTTGTGATCAAGCAAAAGTCGATTCGTAAATCACTTTAACTTGTGATCAAGCAAGATGCAGTTAAAACAAGTCTATGAAGGCAGTTTGCAGTTATGATGGAAATTAGAGTGTAAGCGTAAACTAAAATATGATGTTCGTACGATAAAACCGATTTACGTCTAAACGCCGATTTGGAAAATACTAAACTTTGAAACACGAACGTAAATGCGCAGAAGGCAATAAGCTATTGAGGAGGTTTGCAATAAAGATAATATGCTCAAAGTAAATGCAAACCAAGATTTAGAGTGGTTCGGTCATTCTTGACCTACATCCACTTTTGGCTTCCTCCACCGACGAGGTCACTGACGTCCACTAGAGGCCTTCCTTCAATAGGCAAAGGCCAACCACCTTTTTACAGTTTCACTCCTGACGGGCTTAGGAGACAACCCTTACAGAATTTTCTTTCCTCTCTTGACATATCAAAACTTGGAAGAAAAGAGGAAGGAGAACTTTTAACTCATACAACATTTTTGAGCTCTAAAAATCATAGAGTAAGATCAGGATTTCGGTGGTTTTGGTTGCTGAAAGGGTGGGGTATTTATAGGCCCCAACTCAGTTTGAATTCCGAGCTCAAAACTGTCAATTCCCAGAATTTTGAGGTCTGGCGGTTGCACCGCCTGGCAGAGCTCGAAGACTGAGCCTCTGGGTGGTGCCACCTCTATTCAGGGGCGGTTGCACCTCCTGCCAGAGCTCGGAGACCGAGCTCAGGCGGTGCCACCGCCTGACTAGGGCGGTGCCACCTCTGGCCTGGTAATTTGGGTCCGAATGGGCTGATCCATTCGGCCCAATTTGGGTATGTCAATGGCCCAATTGCCCCAAGATTAAGTTAATGGGATCACATCCTATTTCTAACTTAATCATCGTGCTAACTACGAATTTCTTAAGACATTTACTGCAACTTGCTCCGATGCGTCAACCGCTTCTTCCGGCGAGCTTCCAGCGAGCTTCCGTCGATCATCCGATGAACCCTCGGTGATGCTCCGACGGACTTCCGGCAAACTCTTGGACTTGCGACGATCCACTTGGCGAGTTCCGACAAGCTTCTTTTGGCAAGCTCCTGGACTTCTCGGATTTGTTCCTGCAGAACCTCCGACGACCGTCCGGACTTCCGTCAATCTCTCGAACTCCCAACGTGATCATAGTCTTGACTCCGGCGCAACTCCTGCTGCATGTCTTACTTTCATCGTAGTTAATCCTGCACACTTATCTCAACATATGAATTAAATAACAAATGACAATTGACGTCATCATCAAAATCCGAGATTCAACAAAACCCACTCGCCTTGGGCACGAACCCACCTCAAGTGGAGTGGGGGTCGACACTTGACCCCTCCACTTTAGCCTAGTTTCAAGGGAATCAGGTTTTCCCAGCCTCCATGTCTCGGGCAAGCCTCGCTTTAGGTGAGTTGGGTTTTTTCAACCTAGTTTGAATTATTATGCCTTTTAGAACTCTTTTCGAGTGGGATGAGTATTCTTAACTCACGTGCTTCGAGCATATTTTACCTTATACCTCCCATCGTGATGGATTTTTTCCTATAAGAACGTAATATATAGAGAGAACACATCGCTTAAGGTATAACAAGGATGGTTTCATTGCCTTCTGACGTGAAAGCTAAATAATAATACTCAAGTAATAATGAATCGATGAATAAGAACACGAGGAGAATTCATATCAATTACTCGACACCTGACCTGTAATTATAGTTCTCAATCACATACCTAATTCCACCTGAAAAGATAAAATAATATAAGCATCAATCTTCTGTGTGTTGAGTATACGAGAAAGGATATTATTTCGCCGAAGTGATGCATGTTCTATTTTTCTATTTATTTCTCAAATAAAAATAATACGATGAATCTATCAATTAAGTATTTTTTTATAATTAATTAAATAAAAGAGCCCATATGATTATTATTTTTAGTACATTTGCTTATAAGTTGCCCGGGTCAACTCTAAGTCATTCGTCTTGGGCAAAAAGAGGGTCAGCGCTCACCCCTCCATCGCGGTTGACGAAGGAGGTCGACGCCCGATCCATCCGCCTTCGGCACAAAAGGGGTCGGCATCCAACACATCCACCTTACGTGGAAAGGAGGTCAATGCTCGACCCCTCCACTTTCGCCTAACTTTGAGGGAATTGGATTTTCTTGACTTTCATGTCTCGAGCAAACCTCGCTTTAGGTGGGTTGGGCTTTCCAAATCTAATTTGAACTATGCCTTTGAGTGATATCTTTAGGTGGGATGAATTTTTTCAACTCACATATCTCAAATATATTTTGTCTTATGCCTCATACTATAGTAGATTTATTTTTTACATAGGTCAAGTTTTGTCAACTCATGCATCTTGAGCACATATTACCTCGTGCCTCCCACTGTGGTGGGTTTTTTTCTACACGATTTGTCATCTTTTATGCCTCGTGTACATTTTGCCTTATGCCTTATACTATAACAGGTTTCTTTCGAGGTGATCTTTACATATCGATCACTTTTATACCTTTTGATATGGTCCTTCATCAATTAGCATATATTCATACTCGACCAATACTTGTTTTTAATATAAGAGGAGAGAGATTGATCCCCTCCCTATAAATCCCCTTTAGCCATGGAGGTGAGGCTCATTCTCTCATTTGAGCATCTAAGGCCACCTTTAGGAGCTTTTTCTTCTTCTTAGTGTCGACTTTTTTCTTCAATACAAGTTGGTCTTTAGTCCTCTTCTTGAAGGTGGGTTGATTCCCAATTGTCTCATCCTTAAAGCACATTAGAGTCTCTAGTACCTTGGCATTCCAAAATCTTGATCCCAAAGAACTTCCACTTTTATAGGTCAGAATGTCTTTCCTTTCTCGTATAAGCTCCTCCCAATCTCATGACTATCAAATGGTCGAGAATGTTGGTGTTCCATCCTCGGATAACCCAAAGGCGGAGGTAGTTCCGACCTCTCCTTTGTAAAAAGAATAGATCCCGATAAACTCGAGGATTCTTCAGATTTAGAATCAATGAAAAGCACACATGATTGAGACTCAGTGATGAGTATACAACTCCTGGATCACTTGCAGATCAGATATCCGATCCCAACCAAGTTTGAGCTACAAGTCCCTCGATCGAGTCACTGTCGATATGACTTAATGTTTATATTCCTTTGTTTGTCTTCTAACGCTCTAGAGTTAGCACTTTGCTTTCCTTTTTACCCAATGGCTATGTCTTACCTTCAATAGTGGACGATATCACTCTCACAAATGATACCCAACTTACGATGATATTTGATAGTGTTCATCATGAAGTACTACCATGTCAGTATTACCCCGACCCATAAACTCTCTACTATTTGCTATCGACTATGTAAGACAAAAGACAACTACTACTCAGCTACTTGTGAGGGCTTTAAGGTTACTAGTGTCCCTTCTAATAATAAGGATTAGAAGGAGTACTTCTTCCTCATAGATACAAGTCGGGATTCGAGGTTCAATCTCGTTTGGTCCACATGCTTTATAGATAACACACTTTACATCCTATCAGATTGTTGAATCTCGTATTTTGATGATGAAACCACTTGATATGTGTTTATGTTTTAATTTGCGTTTTGAGTGACGCAGGATGCTTCGATCAGGATGAGACAATTAAAGCAAGAAAAATCATATTGTGCCGGAGGAACATGTCAGAAGATTGGACATTGGGCCGGTGGATCGGTCGACGTATCGACAGAAGGCTTCGGGCCGTGGACTCGGGCATCGAGACAAGAAAAGCAGGTATTGCGCTAAGGATATCAGAGTTGCGGAGTCAACTGGCCGATTGGCAATAGGCCGCAGGAGAGGACGATGCGCCGAAGAATCGAACGAAGCGTCGAGGGACCAATGACATGCCGGACAACTTGGTTAATCGCTTAGGATTAATTGTCTCGATCAAAGTTTTGTTTTACATGTGCAGGATTAACTACGATGGAAGTAAGACATGCAGCATGAGTTACGCCGGAGTCAAGACTATGATCACGTTGGGAGTTCGAGAAGTCCGGACGGTTGTCGGAGGTTCTGCGAGAACAAATCCGAGAAGTCCAGGAGCTTGCCAAAGAAGCTCGTCGGAACTCGCCAAGTGGATCATCGCAAGTCCAGGAGTTTGCCGGAAGTCCGCCGGAGCATCGCCGAAGGTTCGTTGGATGTTCGTTGGAAGTTCGTCAAAAGAAGCGATTGATGCACCGGAGCAAGTTGCAGTAAATGTCTTAAGAAATATCGTAGTTAGCATGTAGATTAAGTTAGGAATGGGAGAT